TCTGCTCCCAAGACCCCGCTCACCTCTGGCTGCCAGGCAGAAATTCTCACCTGGCTTTGGCACGTGAAGAATCACCTCGGGCAGCCCATGCAGACAGAGCAGAACACTGCCCTTGGCTCCTCTCTGCCAGCTCTCCCAGGAGACACGTGCTGCCAACGTCCAGCTGGGCTGGGAACATGCCACCACCTGAAAGCACAGACAGGGCAGTCACCTCAGTGACACCACCGGACTGGGGAGCCAGCCCAGTGCCACCACCAGACTGGGGAGTCACCCCAGTGCCATCACCAGACAGGGGAGGCACCTCAGTGCCACCACAGGGGAGTCACCCCAGTGCCACCACCAGACAAGGCAGTCACCTCAGTGCCATCACCGGACTGGGGAGCCACCTCAGTGCCACCATCAGACTGGGGAGCCACCTCAGTGCCACCACAGGGGAGTCACCCCAGTGCCACCACCAGACTGGGGAGCCACCTCAGTGCCATCACCAGACTGGGGAGTCACCTCAGTGCCACCACCAGACTGGGGAGTCACCCCAGTGCCATCACCAGACAGGGGAGCCACCTCAGTGCCACCACAGGGGAGTCACCCCAGTGCCACCACCAGACTGGGGAGCCACCTCAGTGCCATCACACAGACAGGGGAGTCACCTCAGTGCCACCACCGGACTGGGGAGCCACCTCAGTGCCACCACCAGACTGGGGAGTCACCTCAGTGCCATCACCGGACTGGGGAGTCACCCCAGTGCCATCGAAGTGGGCTGCCTGGGCAGCAGGAAGGGGTTAAAACCCACGAGTCACCTGCTCCTTCATACAAGAAAATGGAAAAGAGTCCTTGAGTTTCAGTCACATCCAGCTGCTCAAAGTGAGAGATTAATAAATAATAAATAGGAGTAGCATCAATTACAAATGCCAAAGGGGGATGATGTCTCTGGATGCATTTCTGCTGACTGGTGCATATTAGGAAACCACAGAGTGCTTTTAGCTTTGACTCCAACATTAATTTTGGCAACGGAAAGAGGTTTTATTAAAAGTACTGAAAATGTCATTCATCTTTATTTGTATTACATTTGTTACAAGGATTTAAACCCCAATACGGAACTATGGGGAGAAGAAAAAAATTGAAATTGACTCATCTGATCATAAAAATAAATGGAACTCTAAACATACTTTAAGTAGTAAAAAGTACATTTGGGTATTATATTTCTAATACTGGAAGGTGGTACTGATATGAACTGTTTTTCATGGTTTGTTTTTTCTCTAAGGTGTTCTTTTTGAATCCCTTACAAATGAAATTATTTGTAGGTATGCTATAATGGTAGTAGTCCATAATCCATAGGGGGAAATTAAATAAAAGGTGGAAATGTGAAGAATTGAAACGATCCAATTATTTTTAAATATTAAATTCAAAGGAAATGAAACTATTCTTTGAAGTATTACCCAGCAATCTAAGAGGTTCAAAATCCTGCTGTAAGTCCATTTACTCAAAATTGTCTTTTTGTCTATTTTAGTTAAGTGCTGAATAGTACATTGATATTGCTGGATCTTTTCTAAGATGTTCCCAAGCTGAGGTTAGTAGGGAATTTAAATTACTTGCAGTCTAGGACCCCTAACCTGAAATCCAGATTTTTCCACTGCAAATGTAAAATTTGCAAAATGAAAAAAAAAAAAAAAAAAAAAAAAAAAAAAAATTTAAAAAAAAAAAAAAAAAAAAAAAAAAAAAAAAATCTGATGCAAATCCCTACTGGCATTACTGTGGAGGGAATCACAACAATCCTTTCAGTTTTATGGGATTGGCACAACCCCAGCAGGAATGGAAGAGCACAACTCCATCCCAACACACATTGGCAACTCTGGGGTTTGGTGCTGAGCTTTTGGAGGTGAGAAATGGGCATTTCATGTTGCTCCTAGTGAAATAGAAAAGCTGATTTCCAGCTGTGACAGTTCTTGAGTAAAATGCCTTTAATCAAGGATCACATCTCAACACATAATAATCACCAACAAGTAGGTTTTATTCTCAAGTCTGAAACTGGATTGTTCAGTGAGTGAAAAGTTAAAGATTTTTAGAGAACAATGGGTTTTTATGGGTTTTCTTCCTAATTTTGTGATTCTTCATGATAATGTTATCATTGGGGAAAGGGGTGGTTTTTGTTACTTTGAGTATCTATTTTTTAAATCTATTTCTTGACTCTTTGCAACTTCTTAGTCCAGACTTGTTTGTGTTTTAAGGTTTATAAAAATATTTCCCATCACAATTATTTCTTCAATAAATATTTTGGCTTGACTAAGCAAAACTATACATGTAAAGGGGCTTATTTTTTTCACCATATATAATTATCTTTGTATAAAAACTAAATTTCATGTGCTGATTATTTACTAAAACATTCATTCATTCAGACTCTGAAAATCCAATTGTGTTGGCTGTTTGTACTTTGTCAGTTCTCTTGAGCAGTGGCTAGAGAGATGTCACACTCTATAGGAGTTTTGTTTTACTGCTTGGAAACATGGATTTTATAAGCATGTTCTCTGTAACAGATCCTCCCAAGGAAGGGCTTCACAGAATTGCTGACAAATGGTTTGAGATTTGGGATATTTACTGTAACAGAACCCAGAGGTCACAGCAAAGTTCTCTTTTTTGTAAATTTAGAACCCAGCCCAGCCCCTTGCTTGAAGGACATGAGTAGAACTTGGCTGTAAGTTCTTCCATCCTGAGCAGCAACTGAACTGTGTTTTGCTTGGTCCCAGCATATTTTCCCAAATAAATACTTATTTTTGAAGTATGGGATGTAATTATCACTGAACCTACTTATTTTATTACCTACTGCAATTCAATTAAAGCCTACTGAACTTTACAACCTTCTCTATGGCAATTAGGCTTTGACTTCACACGGATTCTCCAAGAAAAGTGGTACAAGTCCCATGACCATGAATATTTTTGTTTTATAACTGCATTTTTGTTTTCAGGATTCTGGAATCTTGAAGCAGCACTGAAGTTCTCCTTCAGCTGCAGGCCAGGCTCTTGGAGAGAACAGAAATGGTTGGAAGAGGCTTCCCTAGGACACACACCTGTGCCCACTTTCCCACACTGCTCTGTCAAGGACGGAAGAACGGGATGGAAGCTCCATGGGAATCTGACACACAGCAAGGTGAGCAAATTCTTTCTTGTCTTTGAAGGTATTTCAAACTTCACCACAGGTCTGGTGTGTCTGACATAATGGAAAATTTAGTAGCTAGGCTGAATTCTCAATGTGGATTCTAAACTCCCAGCACCTCCTGGGTCCCAGTTGTTTTTCTGTTTGTTGCTCAATGAACCCCTCGAGGAAAGTCCCTTTAAATGGGGAAATATGAGGTTTCAAATGGGGAAATATGAGACTTTAAGCTTTTACTCAAACTGCTTGATCAGCCTTCATGCAACCCAAATGTTACCTACTTCAAGGAAGACCTGCATGTGTGCAATTGCTTGGGTGTGTTTATAGATGTGTGTAAACACACAACGCAGAATCTGATTTCTAAGATGATTATAACAATTCCCTTTGTTGCTATTATATTATTTTCCAAGAGCAACAAAGGACTTTTAAAAGCCAAGCTACAGCTTGGCTTTTAAAGGTACAGCAAAAATGTCAACTCACAATAAATACCTGAATACAAAGGTAAACCAGAATAATCCTCAGCACATGATTCTAGAAAAGAAAACCCTCAAAGCTATTCTTCTGGCTCTCAAGATGAATTTGTATAAACAGAATGAAAACAAAGAATTGGTGTTCAGTAAGTGCATGAGTATGCTCAGACCAACCTTGAGACACCCATCTGTGCTTCAAAGTTGAAAGATGGAAAAAAAAGTTCAGAACAGAGCACTCCCAGCAGAGAAGTTTTGTGTTTTGTTGAACAAGTATCCACATAAATTACAAATTCTGTATTTGTATCACAATGTAGGATTGTATCACAGTATAAAATCAGGTGTTGACTGTGAGGAACAGTAGATCCACGTTCAAGCAACCCAAACATTTCATCTCCCTTCTTTCCATAAAGTGCTGGGTGTTGGTGGCTGAAGAATTTCACATCACTCTGCATCAGCTTCTTATATCTAAGACAACAGTATTTGTATTATTTTGGCTTTGGAAAATGCTACAAGTTCTGCCAAACACAGGAACTAGGTATAAATTTGTATTATTGTTGAAGTGAGAGATACCTGTGGCACTGATTTTTTTAAATGGGTCACAAGTGAATAGGAGCAAGGTTTTTCCCTGGAAATGAAAGCACCTCCAGGCATAATTTGTGAGAAAACAAGATTAGAATTTGTGAGAAAACAGGACTAGAGATAATGCCTTTTTAAGGACATGGAGCCCAGTGTGTCCTGCTCCAATTCTGCCTCTGTTGAGGACAAAATATTCCACGACAATCACATAAAAGACATGATTACAACATTCCCAGGAACACATCCAGGAAAGCTCTGAGCCTTCACAACTCTGCTACTTCACTTACACAGCAATGGATTTTTCCAAGGGATTTTGAAGTGACTTCCAAAATCTCTCAACAATTCTGAATTAACTGTCCTTGAACCCATTTCACATATAACCCATCCTGACCCTCACCATAAGAATGGAATTCAGGAATTCCATGACTGTATCAGTTATAAACTCAGGTGTTGGATGGACTTTGCTATTTGACACGAAGACTCTCAGAACCAGTTCTCCTTACCTTAAAACCTTGTCAATTAGATTCTCTGCAGACTAACACAGTTTTGCTAATTTTATGCCATGTTCTCAGAAGTGTTTAAAATAACTCTTTTGTTCCATAATAATAGGGAAACTGAAAGAAACTGTGAGAATGCAGAATGTAACTAAGGAGACTGAGCTACTCCTACTTTTTGCTCTGCTTGGCCCCACTGAGGATTTCTATTCAGTTTGCTTTTACTTATTTATTTTCTCTAATGAATGATCTTGATATTCTGCTACCTGGGTCCTTCCTCAGAAGGTAGCAGTGATGATTGTCATCCAATTGTTAAAGAAGTGGCAAATAACAGCAGGCTGGAACAGCTCTGAATCAGGTTTTAAAAAATAAAACAATGGTAAAAAAAAGAAGTTCTGAATAGACTCAGGATTGAAGCACAGCTTAAGTTTAGACATTGTCTAAGCTTCCTTTAATTTTGGTGCAATGTCAGGAGAAATGAGAGTTCTGCTTTTCTTTAGGGACCAAATGGAGAACTTCAAACTAATTCAAAATCACGTGAGTGTCTCCTTGGCTCTCTCCAGGGTTCAAAGAATGCACTCTGCAGCCATCAAGGGATACAAAGGCAGACAAAATGTTATGGAATTTCTGGAATTCTGGAATATCTCACCTGAGGTAACAAAGCAAGGAGGCAAAACATAATTATTTTTTACTTCAGCAGTATTCTAATACTATTTGAGGAGCTTTACCATTTTGAGATGTACTGATTTTTTGTAGAAAGCATAATTTATATCTGTTTGGTGACAGTTATTCTGTCAGAGACCAGGAGCATCTTGATTTACCATAAGAAGCATGCAATATTTTCAGTAAATTTTGATTATAACAATGGTAAAATGCAAAAATTAATTACTTTAAGAAGTGAAACTGCCCAAAGCTTCACCTAACTCAGGATGCTCCCTACAAAGGGGTTAATGTCAGCTGATTGAGAAAAAGGTGCAAGAAATTTTGCAATGGAGAACTATGGAGCAACCTTTCTACAGAGAGGTTTTCTGTAGCTCTAACCCAGGACCAAAACTGTAACTTCAACATAGACTAACAGAAAAACATTAAAATTGGTTTTATTAATTATCTATACCAGATCTTCAAGTATTCACAGGTATTTTCAGCTAAACTTTTAGTTATAACAATCTTTTTGCAGTTTATAGACACAGATAAACTTATGTCTGGTAAATCCACTTAAATCTGGTGATTTGCACATTCATCCACTGAACTGTGCAAACTATGGCAGTTCATGGCTCCATGTGAAAAATTTGGATTAAAAATGAAAAAAAAAAGAAAAAAAAAAAAAGATAATGCCTGTGCAGCAGCTTCCAGCACAGGATTATATGAGGACAGCAGAATAAACACTTCTGTCCGATCCAGTTTCCTTACCCAAATTCCATGGATTTGAAGACATGGCAGAACACAGACCTGTGGACAGAAATTCCCTTTAGCTCTCATGAAACAGGGAATGCATAAAAATTGGAATGCAAGAAAAAATATAGAGATTCCTAGGAGAGGATAAGATCTGAATGTATATTTTATTAAAAAAAAAACCAAAAACAAACCATGTTTAGTTATTAGAATTGCACCACTGGTAAAAGCATGTAAAAGAAATCTAAAGAGGAAAAGCATTATCTGTATGATAAGAATGTGCAATGGGAAAAAAAGCATGCATTAGTTTAAAATTATATCATTTATAATTATGTAATTTATGATATAATTCACACTGCAACTGTTCTAGTCTAATAACAAAATCTCAATGCAGCTATTTTCTCAAAGAAGCAAAATGTGATTTACTATTTGCTATCAATCTCAGAATGTTATTTTTGTTCACTACACAGATTTTTTTGTATGATCCAGTGCTAGCTGAAAATTTTCCACAAAATCTCGTAAGATTGAGAATTTTTCCTTTGTAAAACAAGGTATTTTTAAAAATCTTTTATGTATAGTACGTTTTTTGCCCAATGTATTTAGTGGTCATTCTTTTCCACATAAATGGGGTATCCCACAAGGATATTTTAATCTCTGCTAAGTCTAAAAGCAATCTCTAACTAAAAAGAATTTTTTAAAAACCAACATGCAACTTGCCTACTATAAATCTCACTTAGATTTAATAACTAAAATATTGTGTGTAACTGCTTTTGAAATCTGTAGGCAACTTTGCAAATATCTAATAAACTTGTGGTGTTTCTTAAGCACTTAGATTTAATCAGTATTTTCCAGCTGGGGATGCTGGATGAATCTCTAGCCTCAAGAACATTGACATCCCCATCTGCATACAATGTGGTTCCACAGATTTTAACAGGATAATTCCTGTCCACATTTCAGGGGTGGAACAGAACTTTCCCCATGGTTACGGGAAAGAATATTAGCAATTTGGGACATTAATTCAAGAATAATTTATTTTGAGCTCACTAAATTTCTTATTTTGTTATTTGTAAATCTCAAGGTGATGAATTAAAGCTTTAGTGCATCATAAAAGTTATTTAAAAATAAACATTTGATCATCATAAATCAAAGGCTTAACCACACCAGGATCTAATAGTTTTTCATAACAGACAACCTGAATAATAGCCAATCCACTTTCCTACTGTTTAAATGGCAAACCTGCCTTTTCTTTTGCTAATTAAAGGTAAGCACACCTGCCTTCAGAAGGCATGACAGAAGGAACACTGGTTTAAATTCTAGGGAAGCAAGAAAGTACTAGGGGAAGAGTTTGCAGAAGAAATATTGGCCTCATTAACCTTTTTTGTTGTGTTTGTGAGGTTTTTGTGTGTTGTGGGGTCTTTTGTTTATTTTATTACAGTGTATTCATGCTGGATAGGTTTTAATTGAAAATTGGGTATAATGTTGTGGGTTGTTTTACTTTTACTATAAACCTATTTTGGTTGCCAAGTAATCTCACATTTTAGCAAGGTATAAACAAATATTTGGAAAAAAACCCAGATTTCGATCTGTGATAGGAAGAAAGTGATGCAATACTGTATCTCTACTTACTTTTCAATATTAATTAGGGTTTCAGTATGAGTTCTGGGGGGAAATTATTCCATTTAGGTAACATCTCTCCTGCCTGATTTATGTGAGGTCTGCAAGACAGAAATTGCAAATTTAATGCTTCCTTATTATTTTTTTCCTACTTTCTCTTTCATGCAAACCCTTTCAGAGCTATGATGGAGGCTGCGAGGAGACTATGAAAAGAATGCTCTGGAAACTTTGGCTGTGTGATTACCTTTATAAGCAAAGCTGGAAAAAAAAAAAAAAAAACAAAAAAGAAGAAGTTCTAAGCTACAGAATTGCTATTTGTCAAGTTCCTGAGGGAAACAACACAGAACCTCAGATTTGTGAGGGTTGGAAGGGCTCTCTGGAGATCACCCTGGCCAAGGCATGGTCACCTGGGGCAGATGAAATAGGAATAGTGTCCGGGTGGGTTTGGGATGGCTCCAGAAAGGGAGACTCCACGCCCAGCTGCTCCCAGCCACCCTCATGGAAAGAAGCTCTTCCTCATGCTGAGGAGGAACTTCTGGTTTAGTTTACAGCCATTGCTCCTCGCCCTGTGGCTGGGCACTGCTGACGAGTCTGGCACGATGCCCTGACATCCCTTGGAGATATTTTTATTCATTAACGAGATCCCTCCTCAGTCTTCCCTTCCCAGACTAACCAGGCCCAGCTCCCGCAGTCTCCTCACACGATGATATGAAGATATTTATTGCTTGCCAGCCTGTTGTGAGAAGCACTTAAGGCCTGTGGCCTTTCCCGCTCGGCAGCCCGGAGCGCTCCCATTTAACGCGCGGAAGCTCTGCCTCCCCAGGCTTAAACACCATTTGTGGGTTCACTCCCGTGTCTTTTCGTTCCCATCCGGCTCTTTCGGACTCGTTGAGGGCCGGCCGCGATCGCCCGCCCTCGCCCTTTGTTCGCTGAGGGGAGGGAGCGCGCGGGAGCGCGCGGGAGGCGGGAGGCGCGCGGCCGCCGCCAGCGTAAGGGGCCGAAGGGCGTTGCCCGCGCGGGGGCGCGCAGCGCGAGGCGCCCGGGAGCGCGCACCGCCCGCCCTCCCTCCCGGCCGCGCTGGGCGGGTGCCCGGTGGAGGCGGCGGAGCCTCCGGTGAGGCTCGCGGCGGCGGAGCCTTCGGTGAGGGGCGGCGGGCAGCGGCGGGGCTGCGCGGGGTGGGAGCCGAGCCGGGGTTTCCCGGGCGGGCAGCACGGGCGGGGCGGAGGGAGGAGGGGAAGGAGGGAGGTTGGCCGCGCCCAGGCTGCCCGATGGCTGCGGGGAGCTGAGCGGGCTGAGGAGGAGTCGGGACCCAGCGACACCCCCTCCCCCGCGGATCCCTCCTTCCCGCTCGGCTCTGCCGCCTTCCCCGGGACCCGCCGGGGCGCATCGCGGGCGGCTCCCCCGCTCCTCCTCCTCCTCCTCCTCCGCCCCCCTTCCCTCCCCAGGCCGGCGGGACGCGGGCAGGACCGCGGGCGGCGGACGGACCGGCCCGGTTCATGAGCAGCGGCCGGGAGGGCAGGTAACCGTGTGAGGGGCGCGGGGAGGGCGGCGGTCCCTCAGGACGCGTTTCCCGCCCGCCGAGCCCGGCCGGCCCCACCCCGGGGCCATCTTCCCTCGGCTCCCCTCAGCCCCGCTCCTTCCCCTCCCCCGCGCTTCCTCCTCCTGCCGCACTTCTCCTTTCCCTCTCCGTTCCTGCCTCGTCCTCCCCTTCCGCCGCCGCACCGGGGCCCCGGGCCGCCGCCTGCTCATCGCCCCCGTTCTCGGCGACCCTCGGTATGGCGGGGTTGGAAACAGCCCCCCTCCCCCGCGCTTCCCACCTCCTCGGGGCTCCAGCTTCCCCTAAAAAAGAAGTGTGTTTGTAGCTGGAGGAGGAGGGGAAAAAGGTGGGGGTGGGACTGATTCCCTCTCGAAGGCTTCCAGGCGAAAAGGGAGGAGACCTCGGATCTTGCGGGGTTCCATTTTTAATTATAATTACGCTGTAGTGGTCCCTGCTAGACGGTCTTGGGGTCTTGTCTTAAGCCACAAAAGGCGACTTCCCGAGCGATCCAGCCGGCAGAGGGAATATTTGGAGAGAGATTCGAAGGGGGGGGGGAGAAAAAAAAAAAAAAAAAGCAATGGTGTGGCTGCTGTAATGGTGGAAAACTGATTAAGAGGAGCCGGGGGTGAGACAAACAGGGTAAGGCTGCTTCCAGCACCCCCAGCCAGCCGAGGGCTCGCAGATGGGGCTCATGCTGGGTGTGCTGGGCGAGGGAGGGGTAGGGAAGGTTTTGTTCTCGTTAGAACCGGAACCGAGGATGGATTCAGACCGCATATTTGTTCCCCCATGTATTACGGTGCTGCATATTTTTGTGTGCCCGTAGCAGCGATAACGAAGATCATGGAGGGTGTTTGCTACAATAGAAAGATGGAGTTTTCTCCTTGGAAATGTTGTTTAAAATATTGCTTAAATTCTGAGCTTTTTATCCAAAGGATTTCAGCATTTTTTATTTTTTTTTTTTATCCGTGCAAGGGATATTGAACGTGTAGGGTTTTTAATCCTACAGCTTTGTAGGGAACGAAGATGTGTAAAGCCTTGCATGTAAATATGAAAGAGGTGAGGCGTTTTATTAACAAAAAAATCTTGTCTAGAAGAAAATCAGAATGATGTAGAGGTTGTTGTAAGATGTCAATTTATCATTCCTGAAGATGAACTGAAATTTTAACGAATGTGATATTTCATTATTCTCTAACAAAGTCACGGCTGGGACTCGTTTTAAACCAGGCATCCTTTCTAGGATGTGCAGACTGCCACGTTATTATGTATTGTCTCCACAGGAGGAAATAGGAGGAAAGCACTGTAAATGTAAGGCTTAAGTGATTATTGAAACAGCTTTTGAGAATAGTTGGCTCAACTTGGGGAGGCGATTTAAGACTGAAAAATTAAACGTTTTGCTGCTGTAGGATATCTGCACCTAATCGTGAGACATTTATCCCATATTTTAAGCTGATGTGGACACGAGGATGTGAATCAAGCGAAAATGCTGTCGATATGTGTGAGAATACGAAGATGATGTGTTAATACCTAAATCCGTCCCTAAATGTGGTAGATCAGGGTTTATTTCTCTCCCTTGTGCTTGAGGAGAGGAGAAGGAGAAGGGGTGATAATAGTGTAGTTGTTTTGGTGGCTGCAGATTAGCCAGGGTGTCTGTTTGATTTTCTTTTTGCTGTGAATGAATGGATCTCTCTGTGCCTGGGCCCAGTAGCTGCAACAAGATGGCGTTTGCAGCAAGGCAGCTCTCATTTTTCAACTCCTCCTCACCCCAGCTTTGCCAAACTAGATCTTATTTCGTAATTGTGTTTTAGATTTACTTTCTCATTCTCTTTGCTTTCTTCTGTTCTGGGGTGGGGGTAGGAGGAGCATTTGGAAGATTGCTGTGAGAAATCTGTGGTTTGTTTTTTTTTCTTAATTTTTGTGAGCTCCTCCAGATAGCAACCAGGTGGGAGGAGTAAATAGTTTTATTGAAACGTTCATATAGGCTCTTAACTGAATAAGGGGGTGACACAATTTTCATTTTTACTTTGCAGTGCCTGCTTAACACCACCAAAATGGTCCCTAGTTTTTATTAAGCCTGTTGCTAAAAACCAGTTTTTACACGTAGAGCCCAGGTACACAAAGGCTGCTGGGCCGTGGGTCTGCTGGCCAGGTAATCCTCAGATCAGAGCATGTGCAGACAGGTGTCTTTCTGTGACACAAGAGTCTCCTGTCTGCTTCAGAACACTCACAATTTGTGCAGGGTTTAAGGCTGCTGCTGACCCAGAATTACTGCCATCCTCTGGATAACTGTTCTTTTAATGGGCAAGAATAAGAAGGGCTTGAGGGGGTGTTAAAACAGCTCTGTGTCTGAGCAGTCTGTTTCAAAACAACACTGCAAATTTCTAAAGCCTTTTACATGTGGTTTTTAGTATCTTCTGAGAAAAATGGACTTTAGATTTGTAACTCCTGTGATATTTCACTGTAGTGCCAAACACCTTAACTTTGTAGCCTAAATAAAATAGCTTGGTTAATATTTGATATACTGGACTCAGGCTTAAAACAATACACTTCCCAGCAAGAAAAATAAGAAAAGCTTGTTATGTCTCCTGTATTCAAGTGACCTCCAAACCTTTGATATTATCAAACATTTTACTACTGTTTATCTATTACTTAATGTATAATCAGTTGTTTGTTAGTTTATTGTAGTAACCCAGCTGTAGCTCATGCATAAGGAAGCTGGGAACAGCAGAGCTCATTTTCAGTTGAGGCTTGCAGTGCTGATGTTTTTCTTAATTAAAAAAAAAAAAAAAAAAGCTGAAATTAGCAGAGTGCATTTTACTCCTCTGATGTTTCAAGAACGTTTTTTTTTAAATTAAGAATAATGCCCAATAAACTATTAGTTCCATTGATGTTAATGTCCTATTAAACCTGAAATTACTTGTGCAATTTTTTTGTTACTACTACTTTGGCCCTTTAGTACAGGATCAGAAAGGAGCAGAGTGAAGTGAGATTCTGTTTTGGGTAAGATAAATTACATTTATCCTTGTTGAGTCCTTGCAGCTGCTAAGTCAGTACGTAGCAGGCATCCTAGCATGAAATTTTTGACAACGTGGTAAATTAAAATTCCACAGGAAATCTTAGCAGTACAGTTTTTTAAATCACCTCCATGCCTCATGGAAATGTGGAGATGCTGTATTTGGACTTAATGAGAACTCTTCTGTAAGTAATCAATGAAGTTTTGTATTATCAGGGAGTGCATAGAATTTTGTGTGGCATTATTCTTAATAATCATCCCAGAAGAAACCCTTCACAGCTATTAAAAATTTTAAAGCTTGAACCATTAAACTAGTTTACTTAAAATAAGAAAACCCTTCAACTAATGCAATTCCAAGGCCCTTTAATTATAGTAGAAATATAGATTGTGTTTGTAGGATGCCTTTTCCTGAAATGAAGCAAGATGTTGGCTGCACTGTGTAACTTCCTGGTGCTTTGGAGGCTTCAATTTGGTCATGTGGAAAACAACTAAACTGCTTCTTAAATAGTAACTTAGTTATGATTTCTCAATCCCTGTGAAACCAGATGCCAATTCATCTGAAACTTTTGTTGTTTTTGTAGATTCCTACCAGGCCTGGAGCTGTGGTTGGGGATGTTAAGCAAGTGTTGGGTTCAGCTGGTTTTGTAGTTACTGTAATAAAAAATTGGAGTTGTTTGCTCTCTGTGAAACCAGCAGTAGATTCGTCTCCTCTACACTGGGCTCAGCTCATGTTCTAGGCACTGAATTGGATTAAATTCTTACTGTCCATGGATTTTGGCTCTCAGCATTAGTGGATTGGTAATTGATATTCTCAATTTTAATATCCAGTTTTAGCCATATGGCACACCGTATTGTCTCAGCAATTGCATTTAGCGCTGCTTTGTTATGAGCAAGTTGAAATGGGAAATTGGGCATTCCAGTTGTTGAATTACCTTTAGGTGAGTTGTCCTTGGAGCCTCTGATGCCTGTGGTCATGGCAGAATTTTAGATGTGGTCTTTTTTTAACATGATTTTACTGGTTATGTGGCCAAAAAAAAAAAAAATAAGATAACCTTGAAAGCAGCTTGCTTGCATTAATGAAATGTTGCTTAAGCATGTGACTGAAGATAAAGTGGACAATTTTTGAAGGGAGTCTCTTGGTTGCTTCAAGTGCAGACTGAAAATGAAAAGAATACATACTCCATTCAAAATGTTTTTTTTCTCCCCACTGATAAAGTTGGAACTAGTATTAGCCAAGGTCATGATAAAAAACAAAAATACCCCCAAGCCCCTATGTTTCTATTTAACATAGTGTCTCAATTTATTATTTCTTCACAGGGTGTCCAGTGTGCTGGGGATTTTGTGAGTGTGGATTTGTTTTTCACCAAACAGAAATGTATGCAGAATCCATAGATACTTGAGCCAACTGGTAGTTGAGCAGAACATTAAGAGGTTTTTAAAAGCTTTGAGCTGGCTATGAGCAGTACCTTTACTTGAGATGCCAAAATAATCAGCGTAAATAACTCTGCAAGGCTTCCTAGTACAAAAATTTGGACACTCCAAGATAGGTTTTTAGCAGAATACTGCATTTTTATTAAAATAGTAGAGGATTTCTGAGTAGAGAGAAGGGAGATGGTTAGCCTTGGAATAGAAATACATGCTTAAAAATAATTTTGTGAACATAAAAATCACATCTTCTTGGCCTCTTTTTTTAACAGCTGACCTTCTAAAATGAGTTATTTACATTTAATATCTTGTAAGAGTATTCATTTGTACTAAATACAATTGAATTAACGTATGAATGTGTTAATACTTGTCCACTGCATTTATAGGAGAGCTGTAGAATATGTTAAGATTTGTTAGTCTCTTGAAATATAATGGAATATTTCTGGCTGTCTGGAGGGTTTGAGTGTACTGGTTACAGGGGGTGATGTTTCCCTTGCCCAGTATATTCTTAGAAATGCAGGAATTTTCTGTCTTGAACCCGGCTAGGGAGTACTGACAATATTCATGGTGCCATCTGGAAGCAGCCAAGATGTGGTGTCTCTTGCTATGTATATCTTACTCTGAGTTTTAGTGGGGGTGCTGGAATTAGATGCCTACATGGGAATTTTTTATGTGTTAGCAAAAAAAAAAAAATACTTTTTTGGGGACATTCTGGAAGTGTAGTTTGTAAGGAGCCGTGGAAATAATAACTTGTAAATTGTTTGCAGGATTTTCAGCTCTGGCCTAAAGTGGCAGAAAACAGGGATGTGTCCAGGTGTCCCACATTGACCTGGTTATTGGTATTTGGGGGTTGAGAAAGCAGTTAAAGG